GGTCTTGTGCCTACTTGGCCTCACTTGCTGACTTCTTGACCTTGCTTGTACTGTGATCTTTCTATACCTGCACATGCTTGTTTACCTTTATTTATGATCTTGCATGTGAACTGGCCTTGTGGCCTTGCTCTTGTGCTCGGACTGTGTGGTGACTTTGTGATCCACCCTGAGCTTGCTTTGCTTCGCTTGACTGGTCTTGTGACCTCTTGTTCTCCCCCACTTTGCCTATGGGGGTGTGTCAAACTCTTATGCTGTAGTATTTGTAGGCTATAGTGGGGTAGACAATATGGGGTACAACACTTTTAGTTTTTCCTACTTGTACCCACCTGCTTGCTAGTTCATTCATTCCTCATTTCTTAACAGTTTCTATTTTGTCGCTTGTCGAACGTTCGGCGTGTCGCAGGTGTGTGCAGCAGACCCATCAAGAACTCAAGGATGAGTTTATGATGAAGAATTCGAGCCTTGGTTTCAAGCTTCAAGTGATTCCGAAGCTCGCCAAAAGGGTACACTTCAAGATGGCGAAGAGAGTTACATTACTTTGTGTAGTGTAACATTTCACTTGGTGTAGGCCCTAGTGAAGGATAGTTTCGAGACCCTTCGTGGTTGGGGATAGTGTGGCATTGTTCCACATCACTGTACCTCGGCTCTTGGGGTTTGTAGGAGCTGGTAATCATTCCCAACTCGTAACTCTTCCTAGTTCTTCCTAATTTGTGTTTCTAAGACCATAGTGGCTGCCATAGTGCCGTTCGTTCAAACCAACGCTGTGTTGTCAATACTTTGTAAAATCGTGCGATCTAAATTACCTATTGTAGGTGACTTTAAGACGCTCCAGATCAAAGTTGAATCAGGTCATTTGAAGCTGTGACCAGAGCGCTTTGAACGTTTAAAGCGGCTTTGCCGAAATTCAACAGTGCACTCTATCTTTCGTTTTAGGCACATTGAAGCCTACTGTGACTATAACAAAGGCAAGACGCTAACTAGACATAGTGCGAAGGCACTGAAGGGACGGGAGACTAAGACGGTAGCGCCACAGAATGGTGGGGTGGGCAAGCGATCGAAACGAGCAAGGAGCAGGGACCGGACCACACACCGTAACCTGACCAGACATAGCTACCTGGTGGGACGCTGGGACCTGACAGGGGGCAGTGACAGGGGTCTGAGGCAGTAGCTGCTGCTACTTCTGCTGCTGTTGCTTCCTCTCTCGGGGGCCAGTGTGAAGCGTGTAGAGACCAGAACCCGGCTCCTGGGGAAAGGTGGTCAAAGGGGCGTACGTGTCACCGTCCACACAAGTCGCAGAGTCCCCAAAAGGCTCAAACGAAACACCAACGTCCTGACTCACGAGCTGCTGCACACCCACCAAGTTCCTAGAGAACGGGGATGTGGAGGCCCGTCTAAGGAACCCAAGGGAGTAGCCAGGCACGGAAGCGTAATAGAGTGGCGACCAATGACTGGTACCGAAGTGGGATCAGCTAGTGCAACTGAGACCGGTGCAGGAAGCGGAGTAAGAGTCATGTGGTCGCAGAAGAAACAATGCGACGCACTAGAGTTCAGCGCGAAAGACAGCGACTCGTCTGCCGAAGTGGCACCTGGACTAGCGCCTACACGAACACCTACACCAGCGATTGGCACAGGATCAACACTAGCACCTAAGCTAAAAACACACGAGCAAACAGAGTCAAAAGCACTAGAGTCAACAACAGAATACATAGCATTGGCAGTTCCTAAGAGTTCAAGTAACTGAGAAGCATATATGTCCGACAATGTTGGACCGTGCACCAGAGCAGGGGGAAGCCAGTCAGGGCAGGGCCGTCTGCACCGTAGGCCGCGCGAAGTCTTTCACTGAGCTGAGCAAATCACTGACCCGGTAGGTGACGGCGGTCACAGCAGAGGCCACACGAGTACCTGTCTAGATGAGGTAGGGGCAGGGTGGGTGGGCGTCACCATGCGACAGCTGACGCGGTCCTCACCCGTGCCGCTAAACCTGCTGCTGCCCTCGCTACTGCTGTGGCTGCTGTGAGAGCAGTGGCTGCTGCTGCTGCTGAGCCAAGTACCATGCCGCCACCCCAGCACCTGCAACTGGCAGCCCCGCAGGTGCCCAACAAACCCGAGCGTCACCTCTACCAGCTGCAGTAGGGTAGCCACTAGGAACTGCACAAGGCGCTCCACCAACACTTGCACTCTAGCCATCGCCACTCGTCGTGCCACCTCCACCGCCTCCGCTGCTGGCTGCACCCCGGCCGCCCCTCCTGCCACTCCTAACTCTAGATTGTGCAGAATTCGTGACGGCAGCTGCGGTCTCGTCAGTAGTGGTAGCGGCGAGGGAGGTAGTAAAGGTGGGCAGTTGTGGGACAATGCACCCATGGAACAGTGGAGGGTGCTTCAGAAGACGCGTGTCGCGAACTGTGGCAAGGCGGCCAGGGAGGTAAGTGACGATAAAATAAGTAGTAATCGCCATAGGGGGGGGGGGGGGTGGGGGGAGTAGTGCAAGCTGTGCATCAGTACAGGCAGCGCGGTAGCTAGAATCCAGCGAACGCAAGTGAGCGATCAGGTCAGTAGAACGCTCAAACGAGGCGAGTTTAGGAAACAGGAATGGGAGGAGCAGGCGACCAAGAGAGGCAGTGGTGGGACTGGAGTAGCGGGCCTTGATCGTAGTTACAAACTCGCTAGCAATGCGAACTTGGGTGAAGTGGGTCTTCTCAGACTCAGGGAGGAGGCTCCTGAGGGCGATGTAGGCCGCGGCGTCGTGCGACTTCCAGGCTGTCAAGGCAGTGCGCTGACGTGCAAATCGCTCTCTGTCCGCAGTAGTGGGGTCAGCGCCTAGGGGTTTAGGAGCAGAGGGCGCAGGAAGGTCACCGGAGGCGTACGCCCAGAGGGACTCATCAACCTGACATTGACTCTCTAGTAGGCACTGTGCACGGAGGAGCCAGATAGAGAACTCCAGAGGCCTACCCGCGGCATCAAAGCGCAGGACCCTAGGCGTCACCATAGCTGATGCGGAGGGGAGGGAGCTACTGCGTTTGCGTCTTAGTTTGGCAGAGGAAACCCTAGCTGATGGGGACGAGCACAACGCGGCACGACGGGACGGGCAGGGCGCGACGCCACGGGCAGGGAGGCACAATGGGCGCGAGGGGACGAAACGGGACGGGCGCGACGCCACGGGACGGGCAGGGCGAGACGCGACGGACAGGGAGGCGCGACGGGCGCGAGGGGATGGAACGGGATGGGCGCGACGCAACGGGACGAGCAGGGTGCGATGCAGGGACAGGGGGGCGCGACGGGCGCGAAGGGACGGGACGGGCGCGACGCGACGGGATAGGCAGGGCACGACGCGGCGGACAAGGAGGCGCGACGGGCGCGATGGGACGGGACGAGACGCCCGCGACGCGACGCGACGGGGCGGGCAGGGCACGACACGACGGGCAGGGAGGCGCGATGGACGCGAGGGGACTGGACGGGATGGGTGCGACGCGACGAGACAGGCAGGGCGCGACGTGACGGGCAGGGAGGCGCGATGGGCGCGAGGGACGGGACGGGACGGGATGAGTGCTACGAAAGCTAGGGGACGAGACAGGTGCAACGGGCGCTAGGGGACGGGACTGGCGCTACGGGCGTGGTAAGCTCGGCGCAGCGGGCGCGAGAGGCTCAAGAGGGAGGAACGGGATCCACCAAGATCCTATTCTAGGTGATACCATGTCAGAAACGGAAATGATGTGTGTATTACTGTGCGTTGAGGTACATATACCTAAACCTAACAACTGTATCCCACATGACAAGCCTCACTACATGCTACAAGGTTTGACATCCCTCACTTTGCCTAGGAAGGTGTGTCAAAATATATTTATATATTGTTAGTTCTGCTAGCCTACAATGAGGTACAACCCCAGTTAGGGTTTACTACTTGTATCTCACTCTTGCATAGTTCAATCATTCCTGCACAATTAACTCTTGAAACACTGCCAATCGTAAGTACCCAAAATGCAAAGGTAGGCCCTGGGTGGGGGGGGGCATCAAAATAGCTCAGGACTGCCTTTGATTTGTGGTTTGAGTTGAGTGATTGTGTGATTGATCAGAAGAGAAAGTTATTTATAAAGGATGCTTCATCATGTGAAGTCTCACGTATCTAGATTTTCATTCTTTTCTTTGTAAAAGGCCCTCCGATCTGTCCAGATGGACAGGAACTCGTCACGCCACGTATTTTCCTCGTTTGTTAACCATCCTCGTGCTGACATTTTCCAGCGCTGCGACCTCATCCTTGGTAAGATGCTGCTTGGCCACGTGTCTCTTTTTTATCCACGCCTTCCTTCGCTTGATACCCTCGTACGTTCGCGCGTGAAGACAGAAAGCAGTCACAATTCTCCTCATCACCTTCCGGCACTAGAACTTCCGCCCCCTGAAGACTGCGTTGCAGCGCTCCACTTAGACCTGATGGAATGTAGTTGCCGACATCGTCAGCTCCGGAAAACCGGAAGCAGTGAGCGCGTAGCAAGACATCCCGCGCCTTTGCGGGCACCGCATGGGAGTCCCTGCGCGCAATCACCCGCTTCTAGTCGATCCTCCTCCCCCACAGATGCTCCCACTCTGCACGACGAGGGAGATTGTCCGGTTGCTTGTGTCCCGCCCCCAGCTCTACTCTCAGCTGCTTTAGTGAGGCCGCTAGCTTACCCGCGCTGAGCTCCGACCCCAGGAGCTGGCACGCGGCTCGCCCACCTCCCCAACCACCTCATCTCCCATCAACGCCATCGGTGTGACCTCCGATATGGATAGCGCTTTAACTTCCGCCCCTTTTGGCACGAACAACGCCTTCTCGTCCACGTGTTGGCGCACATCTGCACACCTCTCCCCGTCATCCGCACGACCCTTGTGGCTCCAGCCACTTCCTCCGTCGCGAGTGGCTCTAGGACCCACTCCTTCAAGTCATCTCGCATCACCTCCCTGACCTCTACAACCAAGTCCGCCACTTGTTTGCTGCCCAGGTCTCGCGCCAGCCGCTCTTGTGATTTCTAACTTCTGATGCCGTCCACCCACTTCATAAGCAAGTCCCCCACCATGACGCCGCGAAGGCATTCATCGCCCTTCCGCCTTCCAAAAGGGTAGCTGCCATCGCGCAGGATGTGCCTGTTAAAGAGCACCCGTTCCTTCTCGATATCCCATCTGTTTTTTACTGTTAGGTTACTGGCGACCGGCGACGCCATCACCGATGCTGCAATTGCTTTACACCGCTCACTCCCCATGCCCCGTGCTTTCAACAGTGCCTCGTGCGTGAGAAGGGGGCATAACCAAGAGGGAAGTTTGCCACCCGCTTTGCCAACAGTCGTCGCTGCAGCATCTCCTCCTTGAGCAGCAGCGCCAGCGAATGAAGCGCCTCCGCGTCTAGCCGGTCTTAGAGGTCTATCACCCCTAGTCCCCTCTCCTCTCTTTTTGGTTGCATGAGTTCCTTGCTCCAGAGAATGAAGCCCGCCTTTAAGCTCGCCCTTCCTCCGGAGACGAAGGCGTGGCACAACCTCCTCAGCTCCTCCCATATTGTGCCCGGCGGAGGATAAATCTGCACTTGGAATAACACTATGGGCATGATGTATGCGTTGACCACCGTTACCCGCGCCGTGCTGGTAAGAAATTTCGCCTCCCACTTCTTCAACCCCGCTTCCATTATTTTTAAAGCCCTCTTCCAAGACGGCTTTGCCTCCCCTCCCTGCGTGATCCAGACCCCCAGCAGGTGCTCGGGGTCGTCCCGTGACGCCCATTTGAAGGATCCAGCCATTGGTGGCGGTACATCACTCTGACTCCCCAGTGGCAGCACCACAGATTTGTCCAAGTTCACCACCAGCCCCAACCTCTGCTCGAACTCCTTGGGCAGCAACTTAGCATCCACGAGCTGCGAGCGGCCCTTCAGCAGTAAGGTGGTATCATCTGCATACCCCACGTAGGTCAGCTTCCCAGCTCCTTTGATGTCAATTCCTAACCACCTCCTCCTTGCCTCTTGGCAGAAGGGCTCCACCGCGCACAGGAAGAGGTACGGCGCAAGGGGGCAGCCTTGCCTCACCCTAGTCTGCACCGAGGCCTCCTCCCCGAGCCAACCGTCGTTACAGATACGAGTCGCCACACCCTGGTGTAATCCTTCCACCCACTTCACGTAGGCCTCCGGGAAGCCCATTTTCTGCAGCATGTCAAACAGATACCCTCGCGCCACTGGGTCAAAGGCCTTACGAAAGTCGACAAGGAGCATGAGCCAGTCTTCTTGCCCAGCGTTCGCGACATCGATCACGTCCGTCGCAATCGCCACCGCGCCAGCAATACTCCTGCCGTGCAAGAATCCGAACTGCCCAGCCGACACCACACTTTCCAGTCTGTTCTTTACCCGGTTCGCCAATATCTTCGCGATAAGCTTGTACACCATACTCGTAATCGGGCGGTATTCTGCAAATCGTCTTTGGCGCCCTTCTTATGCAGGAGCACCGTCACCGCGGTTGATTTTTTTTTTAAGAGCGACCCTGTCGCTCAAACTCCTTCAAGAACCGCATCATGTGCCCCCCCAGCAGGTCCCATTGCAAATCCCAAAGCTCCTTCGGGAGACCATCACGCCCTGGTGTTTTGCCTGACGCCATCTCCGCCAGCGCACGCTTGACCTCCGCTTCCTCCGAGGGTGCGCTGAGCGCCACTGCGTCCTCCGGGGAAAAGCGCATGTCCACCGTCCAATCCAACTGTAAGTCCGCCGATTCCACGCCAGCCGCAAATAGCTCTGTGTAAAAATCCACGCTGCTTTAAGCGCCTCCTTAGCTCCCTCGCGCCGGGTACTCTGGTAGTTTATCTCCACAAGGCACATCCTTCCCTTCCGCGCTTTGATCTTGGCCGAAAAAAAACCAGTGGGGGCTTCGTCATTCATCCCCACTTTGATTCCCACCTGCTCTTGCAGCTTTCAGCGCCTCCCGTCGACGTACACCTTGAGCTTGGCTTCACACTTTGCCAGCCGCGCCTTTGCCCGCGAGCACCAAGGTTTGCTCATCACCCGTTGTCTCAGCTCCCCAACTTCGCGCTCAAGGTGCGCCGTCGTGGCCGCTACCCGCTTCCCCTCTTCCACAGTGTAAGCCTTGAGACCCACCCTTACAGAAGTCGTTAGTAACTCCAAATCCCCCCCTCTCTCCGTGTTCTTCCATACTATCTGCTCCACCCGTCTCTGCACACTAGAACGCGGCACCTGTGACACCTGAAGTCTCCAGAGACCTGGGCCTGACCCTCCATCTCCCCTTGCGCTGAGTTTCAGGTGAATCGCGGACCAATGTTCCGTGAACCTCTTGATCAATCCCGCATGCTGCACCTCGTGGACCAGGTGGAGCAATGCGTGCGAGAGAATAATTCTATTGATCCTCGTGCTCTCCTGCACCGCCGCTGTGTAAAATGTGTATTCCCACAAGCAGGGATGGAGCGCCCTGAAGGCATCTCGGATATCGAAGCTACCGCAGATGGCCATCAACCTGTCGTTCTCACCTCTTGAGCCCAAACCCGACGTCTTGTCCAGCAACGGGTCTCCAAAAATGTTCAAATCCCCCGCTAGCATCAGGTGATTCCCGGTAGGTATCGCAGCAAGGAACGGCCGAAGCACATCGCGGAAGGATGGGACTCTCGTCGTTGGGCTCGCTGGGAAGTAAGCCGCTACAACTGTCACCACCACACCACGCCACGACACAGTCACCCGCGCCAGGCGACCAGAAGCGTCCTTGACCGTGTCCGAGAAGGATACTTCACTGTTGCGTAAGTTAATCGCACCTCCCCCAGCCCTTGCTGTAGGAGTCGCTGCTACTACCGTCTCCACTTGCAGTTGATTCGAGAAGTTGGTCCTCCAAGATCCGTGTGTCCGCTAGAATGGCTATATGTGCAGCATCCCTTATCCACTCCTGAACGTCTTGCTGCTTCTGCAGTCAGTCAAGACCATTGACGTTCAGTACACTGAAGGTGAGGGTGGTGTGTTTACCCATTTGGAACCTGCGTTACGCCCCTTAGCATCCACGGGCCGGAGGTGAGGGTGTTGCCACAAGTGGTAAGCTCTGCGTTTATACTCCAGATAGGTACGGGCACATCGACCACGCTTATTCCCCTACTCCTTGTTACAGAATCACTCTTCCTAATATTGTGTGTCTGATTCACTTCCCCTTCGCCTTCTCCGCACGAATCCCGTACAGCTTCTTCAGCGCCTACAGACTCCGCTTCGCCTTGCTCGCACGGGTCGCAACACCCGCCGTACCCAGCGCCGCACCGTGACTTAAGGAGCTGATGTGAGCCGCAGCCTTTGCGAAGTTGTCTCCATGCGCGCGCTCGCAGACTCCTGAACGCGCAATAAGGACCAGCGACGGCACTCCTGAACGCACAACCATTCCTCCACATCGGCTCCCGTCGAGATAAGGACCAACGCCGGGTCTCGGAGTATCTTCATCACCACCCCTGCTGACTGGACGGAGGCCGCTGCAGAGGACACCCATCACATAGCCATCAGTAAGCAAGAAAGGAAATGCCATGCATCGGCAGAAACCTCATGGTAAGATCCCCCCCCCACCTTATAAGTGTTGATAGTATGGACCGTGCCTAAAGACAAGTTCCTGTTGGCGATGTTGTTGCGACGCACATGCACATACTCATCATGCAACTTATCCCTATGCAGTCTGCTTCGATCAGAAGATGATTGCTGCCAGGATCTCCTCAGGAAGGTTCGCACGCAGCTAGATAGATTAGGTGGGCCCTTGACCTCAATAGCAGAGTGAATGTCAAATGCTTGAGATGATAAAACATGCAAATAAAACGATATAAATAAGAGTACAGGGGAATACGAATCGACCTACCTAGTCATGTACTCAAGGGGTACATTCCCTTATTCAAATTCATTCCCAAGCGTGCGGCGCATACAGCTACAAAACTGTTCCCGCCAGAATCCCTCTTGCCTGCAACTGCCCGATGCCGTCCGCTCCGACTATCCAGATCCATCCCAACCGTCTGATGCTTTGAGTCAATTCCAACTCTTCACATTCGTTCTTGATACTGCTTGCTTCCTTAGCTGCGGTGAGGAGTGCACAGTAATGTTCAGACATTACTATTCGTAACACCCCCCTTCACTCCTGGCCATAGTTCGACTTGACTTGCTTGACTACTCTGCTGAGTTCGGAACAGTGCTGATACTGCTGTCGTGGCAGACGCTTCGTGAGAAAGTCCGCTGCCATGTCACCGGTCGGGCAATAAGTCAAGTTAACCTTGCCCTTGCCCACTTCGTCCTTCACGAAGAAATACCGCAACGCAATGTGCTTGGTGCGATTGACGAAGCCAGGCTTGTTCGCGATTCGGATCGCGCTCTGGTTGTCGCAGTGAAGACGAAAGGTGGGCGAAGCTGGAATTTTTGCCTCCTACAGAAGTTCTGTAGGTAAGAGGCCTTCGCGAACTGCAACGTTTGCTGCAATGAATTCCGCTTCGGCTGATGACAGGGCAACCAACTCCTACTTCTGCAAATTCCAGGAGATTGGTCTCGTTGGTTCAAGTCGGAACAGGAAGCCAGTCCTGGACCTTCGATTGTCGGGATCTGCTGCGTGATCGGCGTCCACGTAGCCGATGAGGTTGAAGGATGAGGTTGGTGCAGTTGAGTAGCACAGCCCAATCTTGGGCGTTGAAACGAAGAACTGTAGGGCGCGTTGCAAGTCCAGAAGATTCTCGGCCGTTGGTTTGCATGAGTACTGAGCCAGCTGACTTGCGATGTAGGAGAGGTCTGGCCTGCAAGTGACAGAGGCAAAGAGCAAGCATCCCAGCTGCTGCTGGTAAGTCTAAATTCCAGCAGGGGATAGGGCTTTGTTGTCAGGTTTGTGGTTCGGTCCGGGAGTTCGGTAGGGAGTGGAGAGTGATGTAGGTGAGATGTTGAACCACTTCCCTAACTCCTCTGCATACTTGGCTCCTGAAAGGTGAATGGCCTCAGGCGCGTAGGAGATGCTAAGGCCCAAGAACTGCTTCACCTCATAGTTGCATGTGATGTCGACGCGCCCCGACAATGCCTTCTCGAATTGCTCGAGTAGTTCACTGCTCGAACCTGTGTAGAGTAGGTTGTCAACGTAGACCATGAGCAGGATGTATTCGCCGCAGAAATCGCGGCGGTACATTCCAAGATCGTGCGGCATCTGCTTGAACCCGTAGATATTGTGCAGATGCTGCTGCCAAAGCCCTGGTGCCTATTTTGTCCCGTAAAGGGATTTGCGCAGCTGGCATACGCGCAAATCCCCTTCGCCGTATTTGTGCGGCTGCTCCACGTAAATCTCGGCATCTACTAATGTGTACAGGAACGCGTTCTTCACGTCAAATTGGCGGAGAGGGAGGTGCCTTGCGGCGGCGATGGCGAGCAGGATTCGGACAGAAGTGTGGCGGGTGATTGGGGCGAACGTCTGGTCGAAGTCGATGCCATGCCTTTGGTCGTATCCGCGTAACACCCATCGCGCCTTGAAGCGCTCAATTGTTCCGTCTGCTACGGTCTTCACCCGGAAGACCCGAGAGGACCTCGCACATTTAATCGCTGCGTGGTCAACTAACACCCAGGTGTCTCGAGATTCAAGCACTTTAATCTCCGCATCCATCGCTGACACACCATTCTCGCCATTCCTTGCTATGTGGTCCAGTGAGAGCTTGGCGTGGGTTTCGTGGCTCGATGACACGTGGCGCCTTCAAGGTTGCGGTGTGAAGCCCGAGAAGCTGTAATCCTGAAACGGTGCTGTCGTGGCGACGTTGTGGGATGACTTCCTGCACATCGTCGTCATCGCTTTCCGGTTCAGGTGGTGTAGGTGGGGCTGCGCCACTGCCGTTTCCACCTGTTTCGCCCATTCCTCCTCCGGAGGAATCGTCGTCGTCATCGCTGCTGCGATCTCCCAGTGTGAACTCGCCCCTGGTGTCCTGCTCCAGGATTGCTGCTGCTGCTTCGTCCTCGGGCGTTGCGTAGCTGTGTCCATCGTTTGCGTAAACGCGGTTCGCGTTCGTCTGCTTGTCGTGGCGGAACTGCTCAAGGAAGAGGCGTTCGTAGAAGATTACGTCGCGAGCGTGGGCGCTCTTCTGACTAAGGAGGTCCAGAACGATCCACGCTTTGTACTCGTGACTGATGCCGAGGTGAATACCCTAGTGCGCGCGGCTGGCGAATTTGCCGATGGTTGATGTCGGCGGGCGGTATTGCACCATGCACCCCCACACGCGGAGCATGGATGTGTCCCCCTTGGTCCCGGTCCATTTGACATGAGGGGACAGGTTGCCAGTGATTGCGGTGGTTGACAATAGGTTGTGCACCCGCACGGCGTGATGCATCGCGTAGGTTCAGTATATCAGCGACAGCTTCGATTGCTTTATCAACGCCCGCACTTTCGTCATCAGTGTGCGATTTGTCCGCTCACC